ATATTGCTATGCAATCAACAGTCGTTATCATAGTTTCACATGGAGTTGGTTGTTAAATAAAGCGTAGTGACAATCCCAGGTTACTTATGTGTTTACATTATATATTCATAACAGATGTGTATGAGACAATCAAACATTGCATTGTAAATGCGATGGTGAAGATTTGTAACTCAGGTGGAAGATTTTGGTGGAGTTTTGTTCTCTGAGCTGAATGGTGTGATCGTAGAGCTTCTATCGTTATTCTGAACATCATTAGCACAAGCTTCACTTCTACTTGAATTTTGTGCTGATGATGTAAATGAAAGAAGGACGACTCCAATAATCAAATTAATTAATTGGAGGAGTTGAAAATATGTCATAAAACGTTATTTTATTTATTTGAACACATAAATATCGGTACAAGGGGGGCATCAGATATATATGCGCCACACAAAACAATGAGAATGGGAAGAGAAAAAGGTGAGGTGCATATAACAAAAAAAACGACCACAGATTAGTGTGTGGTAATATAATAATAATAATGGGGGAAATGGAAAGGCACAACCAGGAGAGTTCTTTGAGTTAAGGAAGTTACAACCACTTCTTATGAAGAAAATAAAAGGTTACAGCAGGATCGCCACTGACTTGTATTCTGAGCCATATCTGATAACGTCTCCAGCCACAGTGTTGCACCATCTCTCGGACCCCAACCAGGGAGTCGTGAAGGACCAACAGAAGCCAGCCCTTTGCAGCTTTCTTTCATACCACGACACCATGTCATACACTGACCACCTCTCCGCTTTCTCCAACCAGTCCCAGCGTCGGCAAATAACGCACAACGAGGAATTCTCTGGGACGAACATGTCCAAGGCACCGAAGTCGGTGTTTCCAGATGGTGACACCAAATGGATTATCGTCTCTGTGCCCGAACACACGATGCCGAACCTCTGCATTACTAACATGGTGTCGACACTGGATGTCAAATGAGAGCATTTCGAGGGGGAGTGCGAGCCCTCCTTACTCTCGGTCATACCAGGGCATTTGGCGGCCATAAAACGTTAACAGATTAATAATACTTCATAGAAAGTCAATTTCACAGTAGTTGTGAAAGAATCAAGAAATAGACAGTTAAATCATAGTCCTATTATTGATGATCAGAGTAGTGATTGTACAAGCTTCCGAGTACAAAAGTTAGGTTTATGAATATTGATTCTGATAGCTCTGGCAGTATTTAAAAGAGGGATTCTTAAACTATAAGATGAATATGGTGAATAACCTTAAAAGCTTTATTCAAGTCAACTTTGATGTTTTGGATCCACTAAATTAACGATAGTAGAAGTCTTAGTCACCCTTACCTGTCCTTTGCTTGACCAAGACGGATGGTTTTCTGCTATACGACTAGAATAATCGCCCTTATTACATTTAATCGGTTGATCATTCGAGACTAACTTTATAATCACTTTGGTATTATATAATTCTTATGTCACACCACTTACTTACGCCTGTCACTCCTAATGGAGTATAGGCCGCCGACCAGTTTTCTGGTTAGCGTTTTTTTAGCGAGTTAGTTTTCTACGGGATGGGGTCGCTAACCCCATGCCCAACCCTCCCCCTTTATCCGGGCTTGGGACCGGCAGTAGCCCCGGAGAGACTCCAGGCGGAGTTATGTTACACCACTACTCGATTAGTATTATTTTATTATTGCAAACCATACACATATATCAGTGTAGAGTTATAATAAGAAACTAATTAAAGATAAATTTCTTCTTTCCATTCATCGTCTTACTGAACGTGTGGTTATCACTGTACAGTGTTATGCAACTGCTTTCGTGAGCTATAGGTAATGTTTTAATGCTATCTTGAATATTTATCATTTATTTATTTAAAAGCATAAACATTGGTACAAAAAGGCATCAAATAGATATGCGTCACATAAATCATCCGATTTATGTGAGGGCTGGGACACTGCCCGGGTGCCCAAACCGAAGCAGGTGGTCTTCTTGGGGGGCCACATCCCAAGCCTTTGACCTAGATGTGTAATCAACAAGGCATCAGAGCAACGTGAGGAGATGCAGTCCCACGGTAGCCAGTGACCAATAATTGGTTCATACGCCACTTGTTCCTTCAAGACACTGGAGACCATGTGCACCAATGGTTTTTAAGGAGGGTTTCCCAACTCCCCTAGATGGATCCTCCATATCCACCAACCCGGTTAAAGCGCTGGACGTTCGCTTTTCGTCCTCTCACTTTCGTAAACAACATCCCCACCACGAGAAGGCACTGTAGTCACCCAACAAAACATTTACTGATGTTATTTCATATCCCGTTGAGTTACTGTGGACTTGAGACAATAAATTTTTCTATTAAGATTTAGAAGGTTTGGAAGTTGATGAAGATCTTTAACACAAAATAACCAGTTGGAAAGTGTTCTAATTCTATTTTTGTAGTAACGTATTGACTATATTACGAACGACCATAAATGAAGCATGAAATGTAAATTCTCCATTTAGGTTTTTATATTATACTTAGGCTAATCTAACTGGGTAACAGTGGTAAAAAGGTTAAATATGAACTGTGTTGAAAGAATTTATTTCAATCATTCATTTGTTCAAATAGACCGTACATGACAAGTGCAATATGGAGACAGGCATTTTAACCCATTCTATTTTGTCAAGCCTAACTCAACATTTACTGTCAGATAGAAAAAGCAAACCAAAGAAGTGTGGGCGAGACTATAATTTATGAACGAATCAATCAGGTATAAGATGACAGGTCTCGGATTATGGCGCGACTTTGTCACTGATGCATCAGCTAAATGTTGATCTCTTCTACTGATACGGTTGTTTGCTGTGACTGTGATATACTTTTTTATTTAACGCATCAATCGATCTAAGTTAAACCACCACTGAAAACCTGGAATCACTAAATAGCCGTTTCATCCTAGTATGAGACTCCTCAGCAGTGCACACCCACGATCCTGCACACAGAAATCGAACTCAGAACCTTTGATCTTGCGCACCAACGCTTAATCACTGAGTTGGCATTCAGTGGTCTTGATGTCTAACTCCAATCAATCCACGATATTATGCGATCATCTTCCATTGTCTTCGGTAGGTAACTGCCTCACCCGAGACAATTTAGCTTCGCAACTTCTCAATAGAATTCCGTTTATTTCCTCTCGCAGCTAGCTACTAGTAAGAGCATAATAATTATTAGTAAGAGGTTGTGGAGATTGTTGGATCCAGTTGAAATCGTAGACGGATCAAAGCTTTACCAACTACTCATTGTAACGGAACGGCAATGGTTTGTCAACTTAAAGAAGAAAACAAGGCTGTAAAAGATTGATTTATTCACCTACCATTCAGGAGTATGGTGATAATAAATTACTTATGATTTTAAATGTTTAGTCGATCGATAAATTTGGACAAACTGGACTAGTAATCAATCGATCATCTTATGTATATGACTGATTTTGTGATATGTGCTACTGATGTCGACAGATATAATTAGTATGTATCATCAACTGAAAGTAGAATGCCTGGCGACAGAAGGTTAAGAAGACAGAGAAGAAAAGAGAACGAGAACAAAGAATGATTAATGTGGAAATGAAAGAACAATGAAGTCTGAGACAATCGATTAACAATTTACAAATGAAGTATTTATTGTATGGTTCTAAGATTTTATTAAGATATTCTGTAATTTTGTATCCAAGCTCATTCGATCATCCCTAATTATGTTCTCGTGCACTACAACTTGACTGAGTAATATAATTAATCACTGAATTATGTATTTTATTTATTCCTATCATCTAACTGAACAGAATCCAGGAGGGATAAAAAAAAGTTCTTTTAAGTTATTGATTGAGATCATGAACCGATTGATGTTAGACCACCTTTGGAAACCTGAAAGCACTGGACGGCCGTTTCGTCCTATAGTGGGACTCCTCAGCAGTGATAGTTTCTAGCATTCTGTCCATGTAACTTAAAGCCCATTGTCACGATGAAATGTGATTATGGAATTTTGGCGAGATTCTGATGTGATCATAGTAACTCTTCTACAATCAATTTTGATTATGGTTAAATTTTGTTAATCCTTTTTATTAACTTACTTAACAGCGAATGTTATTCGGACAGTAACACTTCGTTTATTTCTTTGTATTATAATCACTATCTTGTCTGTATAAACATGTACGATTGATCACATTACAGACTGGAGCTTAAATGTCGATCATTTAACTATTGCTCAATGAATCATTCTCTTTCCCACGTATATATGTACTCGAATCCTATTAGCCTTTGCTTTGCCTAGCTGCGCCTTGATTCGATTTGACTAAAAATTTGCCTATGTATTCGCTCTCTCTCACACACACACATTAACATATTTACTCCAATTCACTCGATATGCTTGTAACTTTGTTATCTGTGCTATATCAGATAATAAACTGTAGTTGCCGCTCCTTATTACTTTCTGATTTCAAACACCATTGGGATTTATATAGTAACGGTTATCAAGGTGATTGATTAACGAAGCGAACCCACCATAAACTGTCTAACATAACCATTATGCAATGAGATCACTAACAGTCAGTCAGTCAGCTACAACGTAGGACCAGGCACATATGTGCATCAGTCCAGGTTGCCATACCGCGTCAGCACAACAAGATGAACACCGGATTCATAGCAGTGGTTAGGTCAAAGGTGGTAATATGTAAGAGAAAGATTGCATATAGAGATATAGTACAAGAAGAAAGAATTGGTTCGTAGAAAGAAAGATATGAAGCGATTTTAATCTCTTAGTTTAAGGGAAGACAGAGTGTATACACCGACGCCATTGTGATCGATTCTGAGCCATGTCACCCAGAGTCTCCAACCATTGGTTACGATAGTCACGCGGACCCCAACCAAGTAGTCTGCATCTACCAACATGGCTCAGACTAGAAGTTAGTGACTTCAAGGACTGATGCCACGTTTTGGTTTGGCCGCCCCTCACTAACGGGGTAAAGAGAAGAAAACACATCTTTTAAAAACTATTTTTTTGTTATTATTTCCAATCAACAGTTATACCATATCCATATACTAAAAAGTATCCAAATTAATTGAATATTCATTTCAGATGATAATCGAATTGATTGATTGCATAGATCCTTTTTTGTACAACATGTAGTGATATTTAGCCATGGTGATACAGATTTATTCGATGGAGTACATATATCCTTTATACAACTCCTGGTTATAGCGTTTAAAACGCCATTTTTTAGTTTGACTATTTTCTACAGAAAACAATACAAGAAGTAATAATATTAATAATAATGTAATCAATTGGCAAAACAAGGGTCTCATTCCTACAATTGAAGAAAATATGAAACTCAAAACAACTGTCTGTTAATCAATATCAGAGTCACAATCTTCAATATGATTGTCAAAACAGTCAGTTCTGCTGTATGGAGCTCGAACTTGGAGAACTACTTCAACCATCATCAACAAGGTACAAGTATTTATAAATAGTTGTCTACGCAAGACGCTCAACATTCATTGGCTGGATACCATCAGCGACAGCCTACTGTGGGAGAGGACAAACCAACTTCCAGATGAAGAGGAAATTAAGAAAAACCATTGGAAATGGATAGGATCTAAATTATGCAAATCATCAAACTGCATCAAGAGACAAATGCTAACTTAGAATCCTGAATAGAATCGGAAAAGTGGAAGGCCAAAGAACACACTTTTTCAGGAAATAGAAGCAGATATGAAAAAGGATGACTGACAACTGGAAAAAGCTGGAAAGGATTGTCAAGGACAGGGTCGGATGGAGAGTGCTGGTGCTTCACGAGGAGTAATAGGAGTATGTAAGTAATTAATCAATAAATGTGACAATTTACCTATCAAACTGATGTACGATAGGCTAATGAATTCAAAAAAACATATTCAGGCGTATTGAGTATACAAGACTATCTTCTATGTAAGACAGATTCCAATTTAATTCTATGTGTTGACTGTTTTGTGTTTATGCGATAATATATTATTACATTGGTCTATAATTTGGTTCATGATTATAGTAGAATTTGTTGAGTCGAATATATCAAATGATATTCAGTATCATAATCAACTGAGTCTATTATTGATAATATTGTTTAGTCCTACTGATCTAATTATCTAATATCTTGTGTCCATTTGAGGATCAATATCAAATCGATTATTTTTCTGTGATTGAAATCATGAGTCAGTTGAAGCTAGACCACCATGCAAAACCTGAAAGCACTGGACGGCCGTTTCGTCCGAGCACGGGACTCCTCAGCAATGCGTATCGACGATCCCGCACCCCGTGAGATCCGAACCCAGAACCTAACAGTCTCGCGCCAGGCGCTTGACCAACTAGACCACTGAGCCGGCATCTAACGATGTTAATGTCTAACTTCAACCAACCCCTTCTGATAATAATTATTTTTCTGTAATAACACAGATAGTCATGTAAATCTCAGTAATTGAAATTTTAATTAGTTTCAATGTGTTTGATCATCAATTTGATTTGAACTTCTTCAATGAAATATTAAAAATTATTTATTATTATTATTGGAAGGGGGTTATGTGGAGATTTTAGTAATTTTATAGTTGAGCTCATGAGTCAACTAAATCTAGACTACTATGGAAAAATCTGGAAGCATTGGACGGCCATTTTACCCTAGTGTGGTACTCATCAGAAGTACACATTCACACTCCAGCTCTCGAGTGCGAACGCTTAACCTCTAGACCACTGAGCTATCTGGCATCCACCGGTGTTAATGTTAGACATACATGATGGTCTAGCTTTAATTGACCCATGAACTCAACTATAAAATAATTCATTACTCTGAAGAATTTAAGAACCAGATTGATGAGTAAAACATCTGAATTTCAATTACCTTAATCAAGCAGAGGAATATAGAAATATTCCTAGTCAATGTGTAACATTTTAAAAACAAGATATCAGTGAACTGAATGATGATAATTTGACTTATACTACGTAACATATACTATGATTCTTCCAACCATCCGAATCTCTTAACATTAAACTGTATGACAGCTTGAATAAGTAGAAAATAAATCGGGATTTGTGGAGATTGTAGTTTTTCACAGATGAAATAACGAGTTGATCTAAGGTAGGGCACTAGTGGAACCCTGAAAGCACTGGCGGGCTGTTTTGTTCTAGTATGGGACTTCTTAACAGTGCACATTCACAGCTGTAACCAGAGGAGTCTGATCTGTGTCGAGTGGAGATAGTTATCCATCTCAGACAATGGATAAAGGGTTGCGCTTAGTCAAAGATCGATTGAAGTTACACATTAACACTGTTGAATGGCAGTTCGGTGGTCTACAGATTAAGCGTAAGCGGGCGAAACTAAAAGTCCTTGTTTTGAGTCCAACATGCGGGATCGTGGGTGAGCACTTCTGAAAAGTTCCATACCAGGACGAAACGGCCACCCAGTGTTTTCAATAGTCGTCTAACTTAGGTTGACTTGTGATTCCAACTGTGAAAATAAATATATGTTTTATGAGAAAAATATTTTTGTTAAACCTCACCTGGCAGGATTTACAGTCATTGCTAATTGTGAAATTAGCTTTAGCTGTGAAATTTGTACAATTTTGACAAACATAACATTTTAAAGCTCCCGAATTTCCTAAATTTGAAATGTTTAAAAAAAGCAATTTTATTTCAACATTATCAGTACTATATTCAGTAGTTTAATAGGAAAATTCAAATGTTCTTCATAGTTCACCTAATTTGAACAGTCATTGAAAACCAGAAAGCACTCATTAGACAACAATTATCATCTTAGTATGGGATATTTTATCAATGTTCATTCATGACCTCCATGAAAGGGGATCAAAGTCAGAACTTTCAATCTTGGTAACAAACTCATAAACTTTAGACTATTGAGTCAACTCTCAATTGTTTACATCCCTAAATTGAATCGATTTATCAGATTTTATAACTATTTCCTAATGCCAGGTTGAAGCATATAAAATCCTTTATATGATTGAAATCATCTTCTTCATGACTCAATTGTTATGTCCCGACGAGAATTATGAATGGTAACTTTTGAGAACTATTAATGAACCAATACCATATATGTATATTAATTAACCATTCGTGTTCTTCCTATTACAAGCTTTATTTTGACCCATAGATTATTATTATAAGATTTACCGTTCTTGAGTTATGTCTAGTCTATTAATCACTACCTCCCATACTCACAGCCCCATTTGGCTAAATCTTGTACAAATGTTGTTTTCTGTTTTATGGTACGATGTGGTCTGTTTGGTTGGTGTATATAAACCCATTATGTTTGAAATATAAGGATACATATCGTGGAGGCTAAGATTAATGTTTTGGATTCAACAGGTATGAGAGAAGGATCGATAAAAACTGTAGACTGCTCATACGGGTTTTATGCGTCATTGGTCCGATTGATAATTGACCGTTCTCTAATTGGCGGCGGCGTCGTCGTCGTCACGTGATACACTGATAGGAGCACAAACCAACAAGATATAACATTAATACTGTCTTTAGTAAATTGAGATTATAATTGAATTATGAGTAATATTCATCACATCATAGTGCTTGAACTTCATGGTAAACTTAAAACAATTATATTTAATGTTAGCTAGTTGCATCAAATTTTTTACGTTTCCTTTTTTTTCCATTGAACCACAATGCAAACTTGAAACTATTCATTTACAAATGAATGTCTTACCTTTAAAAGATATTGAATACAACAAGAGATAGATTTCTTCTTCAATGTTAGTTTTACAGAATTGTACAACTAGATTAATCATTGAATAGAGACTAGTATCATGTTTATCTAGTCCTTGAATTCAATGTGATCATTAACCTAATTGATTTAATATCTTAAGCATTATATTGAGATCTAAAGTGGTGGAAGGTAGTGGATAGAAAATGCAGTTTTATAAGAGGTCAATTACTGTCTTGGATAAGTCAGTGGTAACGTCACAGACTAAGAAGTTGGATGACGTCGGTTTGAGTCCGACAGAGAGCATCCATTTCCTCAAGATTATAAGTAAACTCTCATGACGAGTCCTAGATTGCGCGTAATGTAGGTTCAGCTTTTCCTACCGACTACCATAAATCACCTAATATTTCAAAAGGACTATACTGACTGGGCATATCCATCATGCTATCTAACCGTAAGATTATACTTACAGTTAGATAGTGAACTATTCTAGGCATAATTTAATCCAAAAAATATATAATCAAACAATAATATACTATGTGAACAGTTCTTTGATAGTTTGAATATATTTTATGTAAAGAAAAGATTCTGGAGAACCATCATCAACAAGGTACAAGTATTTATAAATAGTTGTCTACGCAAGATGCTCAACATTCATTGGCTGGATATCATCAACAACAGCCTACTGTAAGAGAGGACAATCCAACTTCCAGCTGAAGAGGAAGTTAGGGAAGGACAATGGAAATGGATAGGACATACATTACGGAAATCATCAAACTGCATCACGAAACAAATGCTAACTTAGAATCCTGAATGAAATCGGAAAAGTGGAAGGTCAAAGCACATACTTTGTCGAGAAATAGAAGCAGATATAATGAAAAGGATGACTAACAACTGGAAAGAACTGAAAAAGATTACCCATGACAGAGTTGGACAGAGAATGCTGATGGGCAGTCTATGCTTCTCAATGAGGAGTGACAGACGTTAATTAAGTAAGTAAAGAAAAGAATCATCATCAGACTATCTTAATGATGATTAAATTCCATTGAATATTCAAATAAAGTACTTTACATCATTACAAACCAATATACAATCAGTATATTAAAATAACATTGAAATTCACTTACCTATATACATTGAACTTATCAATATAAAGATAAACATTATACTTATAACCATACAATTTTGTTTATTCAACATATTCCCTTATTGTAAAATAAACTTTGAACAGACAAACAAACATGTTGAATTCAATTATCAATATCTATTTATAAATATTGTGCTATATTTTGATTGGTCATTTAAAAACTATCCATTCATAGATAGATGTGTTTAAACTAAGTTATGATTTATATGCAAAGATGGATAGTAGGCTAGCAGTGGAATCCTGGATATGCGTTTCATTCAATTTGTAACTCGTCAGCTAAATGTACCTCCATCTCGAACTTGTTGATGTTCACTCTGGGACTGGAATCTAATATCGTTCGCTTTAAACGCTATTGCGTTATCTACGTAGCTATTGTGTCCTAATAGCCAATTGTTTGTGTAATGGGGTGAAGTTTAAATTCACTAGGTATTGTTTTACTTGTATCTTCTCAATAGGACAAAACGTGCTTCCTGGATTTCACTGCTAGCCACTATCCATATTTGCTTACAATGCTTGTGAATTAAGGCTATATGGGTATATGTCAATAAGAGTCTGATCAATTGCAGTCCTAAACATCAATGGGAAGATTCAAACAAACAATTCCAAGTGAATTTAAGTTATGATTGTCCATTTTAATAATAAATAATTATCAATATGTACAAATGTCAATTATTTTAAAAAAATTTAATAGTTAAGTTCCTAAGTCGATATAGGCCAGAGCACCATTGAAAACCTAGAAACACTGGATGGCTGTTTCGTTCTAGTATTGGACTCCTCCGTAGCAGTGCATATCAACCAACCTGTACGCGGGATTCGAACCCAGAACTTTAGGTCACACGGGTGAATACTTAACATCTAGACCACTGAGCTATCTGACATCCAATGATGTTAACATCTTACTATTGAGAACGTTATATCCCCAGAACTCACTCGGAAAAGGTCCTAATTTTGTAATTTTATTCTGAAAATTTGGATTTTATGTTTTCGCTCCGACAGACGTTTAGCTAACCTACAGCTTACATGTCCCACTCGGAAATCCTTGACTGTCGTTGGTAGTTGATGGATTTTTTTAGTACGTTATTTTATGGCTCTCCCAAGGGCGTTTCTATCATTGTATAAATAAGCTTGATTTGTATGCTTAGTGACCTATTACTTTCTAGGTGCTTGTAGAATACATCCTCTGCGTCTTATCAAGATTTCTTGATCTAAATGGTAGGGCCGGTGGCAACGGATTAGAATAGCTTATCGTGTCACTATATCTTTGACCTTCGTTCTGTTTACAGAATAAGGTGAACTCGTAATAGCATTCAAGTATATCAATAACTTTTTAATTTTAGTAAAATGTTATGAATTAAATGATTGTTTCCACTGATTTTGTTTTCAGTCATCCCTATATATTCGGTGTTTTTAGAGAAAAAAACAATAGGACGAAATGGCCGTCCAGTGCTTCCAGGTTTTCCATGGTGATCTAACTTCAACTGACTCATGATCTTAATCATTGAAGTTTATTTATGTCACCTTTTTACGACAAAAAAATATAGTTGATGTTATCTATAACATTATTGTATCTATTACATATGTTCTACCCTTAGAATTTTTGGTCAATTTTCTTATTTTCCATTTAAGATTTTTTGATTGAACTACATCAGAGTGAACATTAACTCTGAGATGTAGGTACATCTAGCTGACGAATATCAAATAGGATGAAACGTGTATCCTAGATTCCACTACTAACCACCATATATCTTTAATTAAAATGCTTGTGACTTGAAGTAATATCGAGGCAATCCATTCAGGATGCACATACTCCAATAAGCGATTGATCAATTGCGGTCCTAAATAACAATGCTAAGATACAAGTAAAACAATACCAAGTGAATTTAAACTTCACCCCATTACACAAGCAATTGGCTATGAGGACTCAGTAGCTGAATGGATAACCTGATGGCATTTGAAGCGAGCGGTACTGGGTTCGAGTCACATAATAAACGTCAACAGTTGGTTGCAGGTACATCCATCCCACGAATCCCAAATAGAAGGATGAATTTGTCCTGGATTTCACTGCTAGCCACTATACATCTTTGCTTACAATGGTCGTGACATGAGGTAATATCGAGGTAATCCACACATGATACACATATTCCAATAAGAGATTGACCAATTGCAGTCCTAAACATCAATGGGGAGATACAAGCAAAACAACATCAAGCGAATTTACACTGCATTTAACCATAGTAAATAGTTAGGGATAATTTGATTTGAGCTTAAATATGTGTACACACACTTCAAACTTGACGAATATTTAACTGAAAACAAGTATAGCTCTCCTTATTCTTTCCCTCTTTGACCTGGTGACCGACTGAACCATAAAGACATCAACTTCTGGGGGGCGCATGGGATACAGTGGACACCTAGGATGCGGTTGGACGATCTAGACTTCGCAGATTATCTGGCTCTACTATCGCACACGCAACAAAAATGCAGGAGAAGACGACCAGTGTAGCAGCAACCTCAGCAGCAGTAGGTCTCAACATACACAAAGGGAAAAGCAAGATTCTCCGATACAACACAACATGCAACAATCGAATCACACTTGACGGAGAAGATCTGGAGGATGTAAGAACTCTTACATATCTGGGCAGCATTATTGATGAACACGGTGGATCTGATGCAGATGTGAAAGCGCGGATCGACAAAGCAAGAGCAGCATATCTACAAGGCAAGCTCTCACATGGAATCCTCAAGGTCAAAGGAGGAGAGGAAGAGCAAAGAACATATTACGTCGAGAAGTGGAGACAGACATGAGAAAAATGGACAAGGATTGGATAGAACTGGAAAGGAAGGCCCAGGACATATTGGGTCGGAGGATGCTGGTCGGCGGAACTTATATTGGGGAACTACTGATTTACAAAATAGGAATTCTTAATATTTTATAGAACAATATGTTAAATGTAATAGTTTTTGTTATCGACACGCTTAAACTGTCTTTCTAGTCGGTTTCGATATACCCAACTATTGCTGTATGCCAACTGCAACACTGAAGAGAATGCACGAATTGCAAGTAGAAGCTTTATTCCAATGTTAGTTTCTGTACAGGAAAAATGAGGATTTTTATAGTTACATGCTACTTTGGGCTTCCGAAAACTTCTGGAACCATACTAAATAGAGTAGCAGCATAAATAAATATCCAATCCAAACTGTGGCAGATGATACTTCATTTTCTAGATGTTTCTATGAAGATCCTATTCAATGCTGATTTGATAAAACCCTTCCTGTCGTTTTTGGTCCTCTGAGGACTTTAACAAGGGATATTTTCAACGATTATTTCTCGTTTAAAATGTCTTACTTTATAAATCAACCAGAGTGAGCTCTCATCGCGTAACCTCAAGTTTATCGGTTCGAACTCTGATCGGGTATTGGAGAGCCGCTATCACTGAAGTGTTGTAAATTAGGATGAAACAGATATTCAGTACTTCCTAGTTTCCATTAGTCATCTAACTTAATTCAGTCTATGGTGTAAACTGCTAAGTTTAGGAATCTCCACAAACCTTTAAATTAGATGGAAAAAAATTCCATTTAATTTATTTTAATTCATAACCTTAATCTTAAATCCCATGAAATTTTGTCTTCAAAACTAACATGAAGCTTTATCCAAATTAGGTACCATTTGAATTGAAAACCACATTCTTTCTCCTCAAAGTGAAAGCCTAATTCTGCCAGATCTGTTCATGAAGATCATCATTCATTCGTACAGACTTACTTACTTTCGCCTGTTACTACTCGTGGAGGAAAATAGGCTGCCCACCAGCACTACCACTCAACTCTGTCCTGGGGAATCCTTTCCAGCTCCTTCCAGTTGTTATTCATCCTTTTCATATCTACTTCTGTTTCCCGACAAAGTGTGCACTTTGGTCTTCCTCTTGGCTTGCCTCATGATGCACTTTGATGATTTCTGTAATGTGTGTCCTATCTATTTCCATTGTCCTTTCCTAATTTCCTCTTCAGCTGGAAGTTGGATTGTCCTATCCCATAGTAGGCTGTCGCTGATGGTATCCAGCCAATGAATGTTGAGCATCTTGCGTAGACAACTATTTATAAATACTTGTACCTTGTTGACGATGGTCGAAGTAGTTCTCCAAGTTCCAGCTCCACACAGTAGAACTGACTGTCTTAACATTTATATTGAAGATTGTGGTTTTGATATTGGTTGACAAACAGTTGTTTTGAGTTTCATATTTTCTCCAATTGTAAGAATGCGGCACTTGCTTCGTCAATCCTCGTATTTACATCTGTGTCCTATCCTCCTTGTTCATCAATGATGCTTCACAGTTACATGAAAGATTCCATTTGTTCCAAAGTTTCTCCATCAAATGTGATTGGTTTGGTGTTCTCCGTGTTGTATTTGATGATCTTGGTTTTTCTTTTGTTTATATTGAGGCCTACTGATGCAAAGGTTGCTGGTTACACTAACTGTCTTCATCTGTATTTGTTCATGTGTATGATCTAACTTCAATTGACTCATGATCTAAGCTATTAAAATTACCTTTCAAATTGTTTAACAGTTTTATTACCTGAAAGATGAATAGAATCTTATCAATTGATTTTTCATTATCAA